AGAAAAACCGACTTTATTACGATAGGATAAGGACGTTACAGCACGTCAAGTATCTTTGGTTATATTATTCTGTATAAATATCAAATTTTTATTACAGAAACAAATAAAGAATACAGTATAGATTTATCCTCATTTAGTTTAGCAGTTTCCGAGAATTGAACGCAAAAACTGTGGAATTTTAATAAAAAATTCCATTTGTACAACACTCAGAATATAAGTTAACCTTTTAAAGTGTTGCTGTCTCTATCATTTAATTGTAAAAGACAGTGATAGCAAGTGCAACTTCTTGTTTGAAAATTAAGTCTAATTAGATCTAATTTAGGGCGATAATTAACTATTTCTATTAATTTACTGCATTGGTGTCATAGTCTCAGATGTTAAGCAAGACATTCTGGGTTCAATTCTCGAGTCATACAAAGCGTTTTTTTTTAGTAGGTATCAAACTCCCAACAAATAGCACAGTTTAAAATAGTCCCTTTTAATTAGATACATTGTATCTATATTGTATATCCTGCAAACAGACATTGAAAATAAAAACAACTCTATTGCACCATTATCTAAATTATCAACGACTTAACTGCCATCCCCAAGTTGTTTACCAAGCATGGGGATTAGTAAAAACATTCTATAAAGACAACCTTTTTGGAAATTAAACTAACTCTAAGTTATGACTATGATTATAATAAACTTATTTTGAAACGAAGGATCTAGGTATTATATATCTCTGTCTATACCTTTTTTTAAAAAAATAGTTAGGCTATTTTATAACTTTCAAATCGAAAGATCGAAGTGATCTCGATCACGATCCGCACTGTCATTGGTTGTGAAAATAATCCCGACCAATGACGGACGAGAATACGATCGAGTTCACTTCGAAACTTAAAATTAACATCTTGCAGTATAGCCTAACAGCAGCTATAGCCAAATGCCATTTAGCGCTTGTCTACATGTAGAATAGAAAACCAAATTATATGGAATTGACGTAAATTTTGACATTTGTCAGTGTCATCCCCATACATTTAGTTTTCTAGTCTCCGTGAGACAAAATGTCTAAATTACTATGTTTAAATTACAGTTACACAAAATAATGTTCAAACAATACCTAAACAAAAGGATATAACAATGTAACTGAAAGTAATAAACTAATGAAGATATTTTTCAGCTCTTCAATAGTATACAATGTATCTTTCAGCAAATTTTCATGCCTGCCAAATAATCTAAAGTGCATTGTCTTGCCAAAATAATCTTTAAAACTTATCTACGTAGGTATTTATTAACTTGTTTCAATTGTTTTTTTTGGAGACAGACAGATAATAATTAGATTAATGGATATTTAGATTTCAAACACCCTGTATCACGCTAATATTATAAATGTGAAAGCTTCTTTATTTGTATGTTTGTCCGTCAATCACGTTGAAAGGATATTGAACGGATTTTGATGATTTTGTATGCTGGCAAATAAACAAAAAGTATCCTATCATCGAAGTCAGCACGTACCCGCTGACTCAGATGATAGGATGATAGGATGATAGGACACAGGAGAAAATCCTAATGTGGGGCAACGTTTTTAAATAGAAAAAAGGATACTTTTTGTCCCGATTAAATGCTCCCAAAGGATAAAACAGGAATCATATTCTACCCAGACGAATATCTACACAAACACTGTACTTTTATTACAGACTTTAATAAATTTGTCAGTTTGTATCGCAAGATACTACTTAGACACTATTTTATAAAGAAAGACCACATTTGATAAAGACCAAATCGTAGCGCTCCTGATAAATGAATTAGAAATCTAAAATTAGAGACTAATATGAATTTATTTAAACATACATACATAATATACTTAGCTTGTCGGTTTTATATTTGATTTATTAGATTGTCAATCTATCAATCTGTAATAAATTAATTACCTAGTAGATATCAAATAAAAAATATGAGAAATCTATTTAAAGTTGAGTTTAGAGAATATTTATTTAAAAAAATTAAATGACCATTTTCTAAAAATATTATTCCCCGTTTACCATTATAACTATTATCAGCTAGAATTTATCGAATGCTAAACAAAGGAGTCTCTGTCTTTAAAGGGATTTCCCTTCCCCTAATCTCGACACTTGACAAACTACTTGGAGATCATAGCAAAATCACTGAAAATATATATACATACATAATATATGAACAAAAAGTAATTATTAATGAGTTTATTTAAAAAAAACGTTGTCCCACACTAGGATTTTCTCCTGTGTCATGGGTGCGTTTACAAACATACAATTTCACACACACGACATACGGACCCGAAACGACAATTTGTGGATCACACAAAGAGTTGCTCCGTGCGGGAATCGACACCGCTGTATGTTGGGCGGCAGCCGGTCGCCCAGCCACCGCGCTAACTGTGCAGTCACCCTTATAACTTTAACTTTTTTACTAACTACGAAAAATGTACACACCTTTTTTTAATTACACTCAATAGCGTACGTAGCTAATTCTAGGTTACAAAACAGTCTATTTTTAGGCACCTAAGACAACCTTGATCTTTTTAAACTTGAGTACTATTTGTGTAATGCTAATTTACTGGTATTAAACAGTGCCTAGTATTTAAAATTAATTACTAGTACTTATTTTTGATATCGTGTTGTAATGAATTTGTAGTCAAATTATTCAGTGGTTGTCTTTTAATATTATACTTTAAAATTGGTATATTTTTTAATCTTTTTTGAGGAGATTTTCAAACTTATTGTCACATAACTCTTTAAGATACAACTTTACCTAAGGAGTTTCTAATAGGTGCTGAACACAGCCGTATTTTCCTTCAAAGACTGGTTTATTTTCCTTACCTTATAGTGGCCTGAAAGACATTAAATTGTTTTATAAAGACTCAGGGCCGATTTTATCAACGCCAGATATATTTTAACTGAGTAATGACTTTGATTATTTGACAATTCTTCCATTCTAAAAACTGTCAACTGTCTATTTAATTCTACAGTAAAGTAAAGTGATGATTAAAAAATCGTCGCTAACTATTGAAAACTTTACTGTTTTTTTATCTAAGAGTTTAATAAAACCAATTATATCTAGTTATATTTATTTTTAATATCTTCTTTTAATCTTCCTTACTAGACAAAAATACAAATTTTCCAAGTACATTCATATTGTAGAATATCTTATTCAAAACTCTAGCTAAGAAATTAATCTAGACTATTATCATAGGATAGACAATATAGACAGACAAACCTCTATTTATTAATAGTATTCAATGACAACTAGAATTTAAACAACACTTTCATTGTCATTTACGGAAAACGGAACTTCCTAACGACTTCTAATCTGAAAAGAAAACACTGAAACAAGAACTTATATATTCTTATCTAAATATTTATATAAAGTCAGAGACAAATAATCAATTTAAATAACAAGTAAAAGGTACTTTTAAAAGACAAATAAGATAATAAAAAATGGCTATCTATCAATCGGACTGTGATAGTAAAACTATTTGCTTGTTTCAAAGTTATTGAGACCTCTACAGAGAAAAACGAGTAAGAAACATATTTTATATTAAACTACTATCGCAATATACATGTATTACACATAGAAACCTTCTTTAAGAATCACTCTATCTATTAAAAAAACTGCATCAAAATCCGTTGCATAGTTTTAAAGATCTAAGCATACATAGTGACAGACAGAGTGCGGATAGTGACTTTGTTTTATACTATGTAGTGATAGTGATGACAAAAGAAATATTTAAATTCAAAATTAAAATTAAAATTCAATTCTAACTATAACCTAAAAGTCAATAAACTCCACTAGATTCAATTGTCAGATGAAATAACTGTAGATATGACTGAATCGGGTATCGTACTCGTGTCTGACGGGTCTTGATCTCCTAACCACACGACCTATGACCTATGGTACTAGATGTTCTAAGGTATCTGATCTGATTATTTCAAGATAAGGGGAAAAATTTCAAATTCTAAACTTTGAGATAAATATCGTAAGAAAGTTGTGTCTAATTTGTTTTATTTGAACATCTGTTCTAGGGATGTAGCGATAATTTCTTGTAGGTAGTATATAGTGTATGCGTAAATGAAACCAATTAAGATATTATAGTATTTTTAAAATAAATAAACCTCAATTTTGTATCTGCACAGGTTTCATTGTTTAGTTGTGTCTTGAAAAACTCTTGAAGAACTTTTGGAGTTGTTCTGCTATTGTTTTTTGTTTTTTTTTTTGTTGTTATTTAGTATTTAGATTGTTTGTGTTAAGTATAGTCTTTTGTAGTCTCTTAGCCGTGTTTTTTTTATAAAATAAGGCTCATTCACAGTCCTGCTGTGGCCTGCCATATTTAATCTGTTGATACTATGTTAGAAATCTTTTAAAATATTGACTCATAGAGTAATTTATTGTATATTCAATTGAAACACAGAAATAAAATGATTCAGTTATCAATCGTTAATAACTATTGAAGCATTAAATATGGAATATATTCTTTGATTAATATGTAAACTAAAGGTGCTGTGATAATATTTAAACAATTATTTTAACTAATTAATAAGTAACTATATTTTATTTTGATTCATAAGTAAAAATAAAATCTCTACGTTTCGTTGTACCTACTTGTTGTTAAATATCAACACTTGAATTAAACTGTCAAACACCAAGCGGTCACCGGTGACCGCAACCTATTGTTCTATAATTGTGTCTATAATGACGGTACTTGACGAGTTAATGTTAAGTAAACATGATGTTATTATTATTGTATTTAATAAGGCATTGAATTTATTTAAATGTCCACCAAAATAAATAAAACAAAGAAAAAAAAACACTGAACAAACTTTTCTAGAAATAGTTTTAAAATTATTTTCATGTGTTTATAAATAAACTTAACCCTTCAACTGACGATAGTCCCATAAATTACCAACACTGAATTATTTTGGTGCACTTTTTAACAAAATAAATCTATTGTTATTATTTTTAGAATAATAAATAAAAATTCTTACCTTATATTAAGACATCCAAACTTGAATCGAACTCGTATGATCGCAGTGGTCATGCACAATGTCACTTCTGTTTATATCACCATAAATCCATAGTGTCACACACACACTGGGCACATAGTTTAAAAACACAGTCTATACAACAAATCTAGTCTTTTGTACTAACTTTAATTTAAACAGTTATCTGAAATAAAAAAAGTTATAATTGTAACTTCGCGAGAAATCGAAACAAAATAAATAATGATCCGAAACGCAGCAAATGTAACAGCCGCGCGCGAATTACTCACGCGACTGAAAAAATTGCCACATCTGCGTAAGACTCACAAACTAAATCAAAATACGGACTAGGAGAGGGACGAGTCAACGTAGGCCCCACCCTTCCCCCTCCACTCGCCGGTACGCAAAAACATTCATAAAAACTACGCTCGACTCCTCCGCGAAATTATCAATTGTTTATATCACGACAAAAATGTAAACCCAAACGGATTCATCTCGACAAAGCCCTAGATTAAGCAAAACATTAAACATATAAGAGTCACACAATAGAATTCCGACAATGTCGAAATATTTAAAACAATACACGGTTTAATTTGTACGAATCATAATAATAAACACGGCGCGTTACTGTGTTATCGAAAATATGATCGATTCTTCGAATGCGTTTCGGTGGATTATTTTTAAAGATGGAAACCTCGGGTTGCGGGTTGTTGGGTCGGCGCGAGTTTTCCCGCGCTCCAGGCCGAGTCGTGCTAGAGGTGCGACCGTGCGCTGCAACCGCCCGGCCACGAATAAGTCGCGCCGCGCCCGCCGTCTCCGCTCGCCGTTTTTTTCTGCCAAAAAACTAAGAAAGGGTCTTTAGTTTAGGGTTAACTGTAAGCTCGACAATGCGGATGATTTTTTTGTAAAAGACTTTTTGAAACTGGAGCGTTTGTGCGCGTTCTGACCTTCGACATTAGCGCGCGGTGTCGTGAGGCACTACTCTAGTGCATTGTCTTACATTGCGGGTTTTGTTTTACTTCGATAACATCTGTTTGCTTCAGAACGCAATGGAGATTTGATTTCGCTAATCTTTTCAGAACTACCCTCCTTTGGAAATTTCATTTGAAAGGTTTTTTTATTTGGCAGTTGTTTTAACAATAAACAAAGTTTAAGTAGAGTTACGTGAAATATAACTAAGTTTAAAGATTATCACGTTAAAATAATTTTTAGTTTATAGTAGTTTTTGTGAATTATAAAATAGGTGTGTACTATTCTTACTTTGTAGTAGCTACAAGCTGGAATGCCACGCAAACCGTCTTGGGTTCGATTCCTATAACCATCCAAATTATTATTGGGTATAATCACTTTAAAACCGGGCAAATTTTTGCAACAACAATGAATTCATTCCAGCTGTTGGTTAAGGACACATTTAACAAAGACTGGGCTGTAGTACTGTCTTATAAACCTGAACCTTTGAAGCTGCCATCTTCAACCCCTCGGTTAGAACGTCTATTGTCCAACAGTGATATACCGCGGGCTATGCTTTGATAAGCCTAACCTACACCCTACTAGGAGAGAACCCAGATAATTATGTCCTAAGACTGCCTCGTTAGCCGGGTGGTCGCAAGTGCGACTTCCGGGCAAGGGGTCTCGGGTTCGATTCCCGCGTCGGGCAAAGTATTATTGGGTTTTTAAAAAAAATCTCAGTAGTAGCACGGAGTCTGGAATTGTGCCCAGTATATGGCAATAGGCTCACCCCCTATTACATGGGACTCGTAACATAAATAGTGAAAAGTGGGTGTTGCATTGTACAGTGGCATAATGTGCATCTCTGCCTACTCCTTCGGGGATAAAAGGCGTGATGTTTAAATGTATGTTATGTTTCCTATGATCGTCAATCCATATGCCGAGCGTGGGGATTATGGAAAATTAACTGTTAAGTGGGGATTTTTTAGGTCTTTTCCCTGGCCAATTTTTAACTGTGATTCATCAGGTGTTGCGGATGTCCATAGGCAGTACTGATAACTTACCATCAGGTGATCCGTCTACTTGTTTGCCCCCTTTTCCATAAATACTAAGCATGCCTTTCGTATTCTTTCGTTTACGTGGTTTTCGTAAAAAGGATTCCTTTAAGTTATTCGCCTGAATACTGAAAGACTAGTCTTTTTTAAGTGGTACTTAAATATCGTGCCATCTCTATCATTTTACCACTACAGATGAGGCCCAAGAAGGCTGATGTCGATACGGAGCCGCGGTGGACTTAACGGGTAACCGAGGCTCCGGCTCGAAGTGCAGGAGAAGGAACGGGGTGGTTTTTAGTCAATAAAAGTCTGATACTCCCTCATTGGATGGATGGATTAATTATTTAACTCGTCGAGTACCGGTTTTGTAGACACAATTATAGAACAATAGGTTGCGGTCACCGGTGACCGGTTGGTGTTTGACAGTTTAAACTAGATACCTAACAAAAATTTATAATACTAAGTAAATGAACTACAGACAATTAACAAACATATAAATACACGTAAAAAATTTAAGGAAAAATTTTAATTATTTAGTTTGAAAATACTAACTTTTTTTATATGATAATATTATAAGTAGGTACTTTAATTAGATTATATTTTCCTCTATACGTTGCCGTGCCCTACCCGGGTTTCATGTTGAAACTGTACCCCATTATGTAACACCCATTGTACACATCATGATATGCAATAAAAATTAAGAAATATCTGTCAATTTACAAAGAATTTGTAGTGACGGAACTATACTTAAGCGCGACAAAAACTTAGTAGTCTTTCAGTATTCTGATAGCTTCTCATATCTAATTAATCGACATTGTATTCCGACAATCAAAAACTAACAAATTTTTAGCACCTTGTTTGGGAGTCCAGCTGCACATCACAATTGTAATGACTCATTCGATAGAACAAAACATTTAACATAACAATATTGTTTGGACAAACAGACAAACATGTAAACATGTGAAGTATTAGATGTTAATTGTGGGAATATGACCTGTTAATAATGGTGTGAACTTTGAGATTATTTATTTGGGAATAACTGAAGTGTTTGGTGATTGACTACTTCGTTGGGCGAGTGGTCGCAAATGCGACTGCCGGGCAAGGGGTCTCGGGTTTGATTCCAGGGTCGGGCAAAGTAATAGTGATTAGTGGTTACCCTGGCCTATGTTCGCTTGCAACATTTGGGGCATTGCATGCATTTTGCCACCTTCAAAAAACGTTTGTTAGAAGGGATCTTAAAGAACTCTATATTGTAGCATACTGGGAAAACTAATTATGTCCTAAATACGATCCTGATGCCTGAATCTAAAGCTGCTAAATGATATTTAGTTGTGGATGGTTGGATTCATTTATTACACATTCTAGATTAGGCTTCATGCATTCGGATTTCAAATTATGATGCGAGGGTGCAACCGCTATTGCCTCGCTTAATCCGATGGGACGGCAATCTAACACGATCGGAACAGACAGACAGAAAAACTGACGATTTAATTTTAATATTAGTGACTGGTAGTTGTATTTGTGATGTATTGACTTCGATTTTTGATTGACCAAAAAGTGTCTATTTATCGGTTTTTTTTTTAATGTAACGTTGGTATTAGCTGCGGTATCTCATCGGTCGAGTGGTTGCAACAGTTAATATTAAGTTTGATTTTCGTATTTTTTATTTTATAAAATATGGTTAGGTTTGCTTTTAAGTAGTCTGAAACTTTACAAGATTGAGCTTTCTGTAACAGCTGACGAAAAATAGGATTACGTTTGATGTCGGAGTACCGCAATTATTTAGCTAAAAGATGCGACTATACGTTAGATGATTTGCCACAGATAGACTAAAGTTCCCATTGTCAGTCATATTTCATGTCTCTACGTTG